TTCTTAGGTTTTATCACTTTAGCCTTCTTTAGTGGTTAAGTTTTGTTATTTCCTTCTGTCAAAATTAATTTCTACCAGGTTTGAATATTGTTTCATTTAAATTGTCTCAGGTTTTGTTGAAGACACTTATCTAGACAGCAAAGTACAGTTATTTTCCCAGAGAGTTGAGGATGACTACGACTGAGACAACTGTGATGAAACACTTTTGCACACCTGCTTGTGGATGAAGGGGAATGCAATCTGTTACACCTGATTTCATCAGATGTTCTATCATTTGTTACAATCTCTGCTGTTTTTGTTTTCTGTAGGTAACACAAAAGAATAGTGACTGTTAATACTAGGAAGTTCAGAAGTTTTTTACCTTGTTTCATTTTTTGCCATTGAGACATGAATGTTTTGAAAAATACTATCTCAGACCCTTATTGCTGATATTCATTGTATAATGTGAATTTATGGAATTTTTATGATGAGCATTATTTATAGGATGTTGTTGTATTTATAGCTGGCTTCTTGTATATTTTAACATCTCTTTGTGTAATTACTTTTAAGATGTGTCATTTGAGATCTTTTTGTTTTCTAACTGCAGATGCATCTCCTTAAACAAGCTGTACAGCTGTTCCTGAACAGGGCTTTTCTTGCTCTTTAACTCCTTCCCTTGCTTAAGAAGGCTTGCTTTTGCCTAATTCAGTGTAACTTTATTGTTTTCCAGTGCTTCCAGACTTCCAGGAAAATGTATCATTGCTGAAAGTCAGTTACCCTGAAACTTCAGATTAAACCAACTGCTAGATAGTTCTATTGGTCTGTTGCCTAAGACTTCTGAGCATTTGCTTTCCACAAAGGCACTTCAACAGTTTGCTGAGCTTTAAGCATCTTATAGCTGCTATTATCAAGAACCTTGTTTTGAAAATGAGTTAACAGACATCTTTCCATTTTAAAGCCTAGGCCCTGGCCAAGCCCTGACTTTACCTGGATGGAATGTTTGCCAACAGATCCAGATGTTTTCTGTACTGAATTATGTTCAAATTGCTTTTGACTTGGCAATTGAACCCTATTGGTATGACAGCTGGGTCAATTTTGGAGTGGGTTTGGAGAATCATTTCTGGAGGTGGTTGTCCAATCCTTCCTTGATTTTGTTGGCTGTTTGCAGACTATGAGATGCTGGTAGAGTGTTTTAGTGGTTAATAATAATTCATTATCACATATGTTATTAATAATATTTATTATCTGACTTATTTCTGACTGCTGTGGGTTTTTTGTTTATTATGCATATAGTTTCATTTTGATATTTTTCATGTATATGATAGAAGAGGTGCATCTCATTTTTAAAAGCAAAAGGAATCAATGCCCTAAGAACATTCAATTAATGCAATATGTACATTAGAAATTTAGATCACAATTCATTTTTGAATAATGAAATATATACACCAAAAATTTAGAAAATATTGTAAAATCTGAATTCCCTATTAAGTGTACTACAGCTAACACTGAATGATTCAGTCACCTATGACAGCTCTTCTCAGACTTTCACAGAGGCCATATCTTCACAAAATTGGCTGCAAACAGTGAAATCAAGAGGAGAGAAAATTCTGCAGTATTCATTAATTACAATATTTTATCCTTTAGTTTATAAATTAACGGGATTTAAAATTGATCTTGTCTGATGAGGACAATTGTCTAAACACCGTTCACAAATGTCAAGCTACACTTATGTGTATACATATACTTAAATTCCTTTATGCAGTACTGATGGAGAGTAAGAAGAGAAAGGTTTCACATCCTTTTTGATGCATGATGAGGTAAACACTCATTTTTATGTATTTGAGCTACACTTTACTGACAGGTTTGAGAACTTTTTAAGTGTTGAAAACAAGGTAGTTATAAGAAACAATGTTGTGAAAATCCTTAAGTGGATAAGCATAGTAACAGTGCCTCTCTGAATGTGGTTGGTTCAAATATCTTCAAAAGTCATGGTAAGTTTATCCAAAATCATTTTTATTAAATGCTATCACCTGTTTTCAATACAACACTTTGCAATGCCACTGTTCAAAAACAAGTCAAGTAAATACCAACATCCAAATGTCAAAAAAAATCAAAGCCTACTTCCATCACATGGCATGGACGCCTGGGGCTCCATTGCTCAACAGAAGTTGTGTTATAAGAGGAAGTAGAAAAAAAATTGTTTTTCAGACAGTCTGAACGTTGTCATCATTCCAAAATGTTACATGAAAGAAATAAAATACAGACTGCATAGATTTTTCTCCCAAAAAAATCGTAGTGTTGGTGGGACAGGACAGTCATTTCTGATGCAGGAGAAAACTTGCATGTGTGCTTTGTATTCTGGAGAGGGGGTTTAAATTCAGTAATTTTTATTTGAAATTTGCTTATCAGTTGTGATCGTAAATGCCATGGGCCAAATTCAAGTATGGATGAAATTTCCTTTCAGCCAAATCTCTTGCTGTGCTGATCCAGTTACACCAGTTGCATCTATAACTGCAAGCCTCAGTTATATAGATCAACTTTCTGAAAAATCATTATGAGCGAAGAACTTTTATAGTCATTAGGTTCAAAGAACCACTTGGCTAATCTTGCCTGACACACATAAAATATCTGGACCAGATTTGTGTAAAGAAATATTAAAAACGGCAGAAAGGACTCATTGGAACACCTCAAAGAGGAAGTAGAAACCAGCAAAGCAGACTGTATGACTCTTACTAGAACAACAAAAATTACCATATAGCTCCTACTGAAATTTCTTCCAGGGAGGTTTGAGGGATAAAATCTTTAATGCATTTCTTTAAAAACAATATTTCATGCTGAAACCCAAAGTTAAATACCCTTACAGGTCACACATTTCAAAGCATCATGTCAGTAAATGGAAGAGTTCGGTTAACAATGAACACTGGAGCTATATCAAGAGATAAGTAATTCTAAGACCTGTAAGAAAAGGGAATTTAAACTACAATTTATAATGAATACTGAATAGGATTAACACTTACTTGCATATTTTTATAGGAAATTGCTTCAGACCTGGCTATATTGAAGCCACAATAAAAATAAAATTAAACAAGCTGAGTATGGTTAAGTGTCTTCTGAGACAAAAATATTTATCCTTTTATACTAAATGGGAAAAAAAGACACAGAGAAGAATACTTCAGAAGAGAATATCTTGAAGATGGTACAGGGTGTTTTCTGTGAGCTCAACACCTAATATAGGAGCATCCTCATCACACATTTTACTAGATTACAAGTGTAAGGACTCCACAAGAGTCTTCACAATCTTCACTATTATTTTGAAAAGGAAAGCCCAGACAAAGCTGAAGCTTCAACCCACATTCCTATATGATGATAGATGACACAGATGCCCCTATATATATGCCTAGTATTCTGTGTTGTTGATCCTTTTGGTTAGTCTTATCTCCTCCCGCAGACTGTATCAATTACTTTGTCTTTCTTTCACACCTACACTTTCAATTAGGCTTGAACAGCTAAACGACAGCTAAATCAGGAAAATAAAAAGCACTTATCTGAATCTTTGTGCAGCTTTTACTTGTTTCTTTCTCAAATATTTTCTTTATTTTGGTGAGGAGAAAACCCCACCATGGTGATTTTTTTTACTATGACTTTATCCAGGGAGGTGAATCCTATAATATGAAATAACAACGAGGGCTATTACTTGCATTATGCCTTTGGAGAGAATAATGCAGTAGTAGTAAAAGTGGTTAAAGTAATCCTCTAACATTTAAAAGGCATTTACCCTTGGGGCAAATGAAAATATGGGAAGTGCAAGAACTGTGAGTGTCAGCATAATCTATTTTTATTGCTTACTAAAAACAACCTTGCACATAAGTATTCCCAAACAAGATGAGGCCATAAATGCCTAAACACAGTACTAAATGAATAAAATAAAGTATTATAATAATTCATAGGATTTTTATAACCCATCATCAGCATGCATAAGTATGTGTCAGTCCACTGACTTTATTAAAATCAAGATTCCAGTCTCCCACATGCTGTTCTACTGGCAAAAAATCATCACACAAAAGCAACAGATGGGGTGAATAAAAAAAGAAAAGAAGCTCCATACTGCAGAACAACCAACCTCTGTAAACCACAACAGAAGAACTGCCTGAAAGCACACAGGATGGCTTTGGGATGCAATACTAGGTCACAAAGTTACTTTTAAACATGAGACCAGATGCCCATCTATGTGTGAAGCAACTTTCAAGAGGAAGGAGGCAATATCTTCCACATCATCCATTATCACTAGAAAAAGAAGGCATTGTCTTCAGGGCAGCCCTGCAATACTTAAAATAAGGGGTTTCCCCAGATTTTATCAGCACAGCTTACAAGGATTCAAGGACAGGCTGCTATTTTAATCACTGCAGTGGGAAATTGGACATGCAAAGGATTTGAGGATACCTGTGTTCCCTATTCTCCTTTTTCTCAGGCCATACACATTGTTATGATTCTCAGACATCTCTCCTGGTTACAAGGCCAAACATGAACTAAGTTTCAAACAAACATTACTTTGGTATCCTTTTCTTATGCCAAATAATTTAGATTAGATAGAGGAATGTCCTTTTTATCCTCACTGGTCCTTTATTCACTACAAATTTGTCCTTTTCCATTGCACAATATTTGTCTAGGTTATTAACTCTACCCAGACATACATAAGCAAACATGCCACAGTGTTGTTCACATCCCTGTCATTTGCTGATTCCTTGTTACATTAACGTGCTAGATTGTTAACCAAATGTTGGTGTTCACAGATTTAAAGTCATGACTGCAGTTTAGCACATTTCATTGCTCAGAACTTAGGAGGTCACTGGAGTCCTAAAAATTGTGAGCAGTCAATTACGTTGTTCAGTTACAACTGAAAATTCTTAGCAGCCAGAAATTGCCCATTTCAAACTTCAAATTAATATTTTTTTAGCTCATCATTCACATGATTCCAAAAAAAATAAATTTAGTACTTACTATTCCTGCTGCTTTTCCCTTACCTTCTCATATCCTCCTTTATGTGCAGATTTATTAGTTCTTTAGGAACATGGAAAGAGAGGGTAGTCTCAGCCATCTGTTCCCGGATCCGCATCCACTTGTTGTCAGAAGTAGGGAATCTGTATAACTTACAGACTGGGTTTCTCAACACTGCAAAGAGGAAAAATAACATCATTGCTTTACTGTGGTTATATGACTCTGAAAATTTATTACAATAACCTGCAAAAATTAATATATTTATTTTTCCCCTAGCTTACAAAATTAATTTCAGAACCATTAAAATTCTACTAAAACCATTTAATTTTTATTTCATTTTTATACCAGTTTGTGGAGGACAAAGTATTACTAGTACATCAATAAATCACATTATACCAACACAGTAGGTAATCTTTGAAAAGGAAATTTAGGTCTTCAAAGTAGTGAGAATGTAAATTAGACTCTCTTTTCTTACCTTTAAGGTGAAGTTAGGAAAAACAGAATGTACAAGTGAACAATGAACTTAATACACTCAGCACCATTGTTTACCACTTGCTAGAACCACTCACAATTCCAATAAATTGCACAGGACTCAGAGTTCAGCTGCATCTTCCCCTTGACATGCACATACAAATTATTAACACAAATAGAAGTTATGTTTCTACATTAAAGGAAACTTGACCTTTGACCATATTAGAGTTACCTTGATCATTGATGTGGTCAAGACACTGCCACTACATAGAAATAAATGTAACAGCCCTGTCACATATGTTACACACACTGTTTTCAGATCACTATTGCAACATGACATAAGAAAATCACATGTCTTGGTATTTTGGAAGATTATGCTTAAAACCCATCATGTCTTTTATTTTACAGTTTTCACATGTTTGCTACCTTTCTGTTCATATCTTACAATGATGCTGTATAATAAAGGCGGGAAATTTCTACTCTCTCCTTTCCATCTTTATCTGTTTTACCCTGCTCTTATTTTCCAGAAAGAGCAAATAAGGAAAAAGCTGATGAAGAAAAAGTTCTATTTGACTACTTTGATAAGCTTACTTGGAGACAAATTATTGTCATTTAACACACATGTTCACAGCATCCTAACTCGGAATGACTTTGAACAGCCATCCAAATCCTCCACTGGTACCTTTCTTTCTGCCTTCTGGAAAAACTGCCTTCCAGCAGACTCCCATTGATCTGCCACTGAGTAGTCTATAACTCAGAGGAATGCATTCCCCATGTGCTGTGGGGAAACTGCTGCTGTCAAAATGACAGCTGCTAATAGACATTTCAATTCACAACTCCCTGACACCATTAATGTCTATGTAGGCTGATTTATAGAGAACGAAAAATGAAAGGTACACAAACTGTCTTGTCTAAGCAATCAGGTTTTTTAACAGAAATCCTTTAGGAAAGGCCTAAAAGAAGAACAGATATTTAAATAAACTGATAATAAACCCATTGCTGGCAACTCAAAGAAAGGAGTAATGTTTAAGCGATTGTATTGATCTGTATTCCTATCACTCTACTGAGATGTCTTTCATCATCAGTCTTTGATGAAAAACTGGAAGCGTTTTTAGAGTCATTTTACCTTTAGTTATTTAGTTATTTTACTTTCAAAAACTAAATTCTGACTTAGTGTTATGAAATAAGCCAAAGAGATGCTTGAAATCTCTGACATATGAAAACAAGCAATTTTTCTTTACTACTCCTATCCAAAATATCTCAATGTTCAAACATTTTTCCACACACTTTCAGAGTTTAAGGATCCTCACCATGCAGATTTAACTACAAAAATAAGCATCTCCATGTGCCTATGATCAACTTTCACCAAGTGTTTGGCCTAATTACATCACTTGATTAAAATATGCAGTAATGCGTATTTTCATCTTTTCCTTCTCTTTTTGCTGAGATTCTTGTAATCAATGAAATCAGTCTCATTGATAATTCTAACAGTTTCTTTCAATTCACAAAGCTGATACATGGCACCAATCATCTCCCATTAACAAGGCAGGGAATGAAAATTTTCAAATGTCGGAGAGTTAGGAAACAAAGGGCTAATTCAGGTCTGGCCTTAAACAGAAAACTGCCAAACCAGATGATAATTTTTCGTTGGGTATGTTTTTTTCTGTTGTGCCCCCTGATCAGCAGGGAGAAGGCTGATGCGTATTACTGGGACATTTTAAATGATGATGACCCAGACACAAAAGACTCTGTTCTTTATTTTACTTTTTTTTGTATCTACTTCCTAAGGAGTTTATCAAAGGATTTTTCTCCAAGAACAGCTCTTAAATTCACACTCAGAATCTATTACACTGAAAAATAAACATTAATCTGTGAGAACCTAAAGGAAATATGTAACTGAAGAATCTCTTTCATCTCCCCCCTGTCACCACCACCATCACAAAGTAAAAAGCAAACCTCAGAAAACCCATGAGGATTGCAGCAAGGGAGAAAGAACACTGAAAATATGGATCCAAAGTTGTGACTTTTTCATTGCTAGAATTACTAAACTCCTCTCCTGGTACTAGTTGAATTTTCAGGTCTTTGATTCAGGTCTGAAATTTTAGATGGGTATAATCTCAAGTGTGTTTTAAGTTTTTTTAAATGTTCAAATCATACCTCCATGGGTTTAGGAAGGTAATTTAATTTCCAAACTTGGAAAAAAAGCCTGGGATTTTTTCCCAAAGAATACAAATTCCAATATGCAGTATTACTAAATCTTAAAATTGTCAATAAAAGCTTCATTGTACTTGATGTTTTCCTTATAAAAAGAACTACTGAAGGCATACGATTCCATAAAAATCTCAGAAGTATCTTCCTTTCCAATTACAACAATAACTAATTTCTAACTATAACAAGTTGTCTAGAACATAATTCTAGAAGGCTTATATGTAAAAGCACCCAAACAACAAGAATGCAGGACTAGAACTGGCTTTTATAAAAACTTGCTATTAAAATGAGTGGAAGTTTCATAAACTAATCCTTCCTGTACTTAGCCAATGATCATGAGTGGCATTAAAAAAAACCAACAAAATACACATGAATTGTAGCAGGTAAAAAAGAGAAAAGCCTATTTTAGAAGCTTTTCTCTATATATTTTATCTCTATATAGAATGTCTTTTTGACATTCTCATTTTCAAATACGAAGAACTCTATGCTTTTTATTCCATGCAATATCCTTCACATTGCTTCCTCTGAAAGTGGAATAAAAAAATAATAAAAGACTGAATACTCTGGTTTTATTTTCATTCGCTGTTGAACATAGATAAAAGCATATCCATTTACTAACAGTATTTCTATTTATATCTTTCTTTGTAGCATAGGCATATGATGTGTATTACCTCAAGAGTAATAATTACAGCTTTCTTAATTTTTCTTAATTTCAATTACTTTTATTCTCTTTTTTATTTAGAATGCAATTTGTTTACATGCAAACAACTAGCAAACTCTCCAGAATTATAAATAAATAACTGAATTTGAGATGTAAATTCAGTCTCTTGGGGTATAGATAGAATAGTGATAAGGTTCTGAAATACACTTCTGATTCCCACTCACTCAGTAAGTATCTTAGAACTTAGAACTGAAGGGCTGCAAGTTCCCTATCCTAAGATTTAAATTTCAGAAGAATGCCAGCATGCTTCCATGCCTACAGGCTTAAGTATTCACAGAGGGGTATTTTTTTCAATTTCATCATTTTGAAGGCTTGATAAACAACAAGAAACAGGAAGTACAGGAAAGCTTTACAACAGTATACACATGTACTGAATATGTATATAGGAATGTATGTATATAGGAATACATTCTATTCTAGGGGTAGTTCTGTACGAACACAGCAGGGAAAGCAGTGCAGGCACTGTTGATGTTATCAGGTTTCCTGACACTTCTGCACAGGTACCCATATGAGAAATCCAGTCTGTCTCCAGGCAACACAGAGAGCCTTAATCCACACAAAGCCCAGTCACGGGGGCGTGCTGGGCAAGAAGTCTGATGGGTTGAGGAAATAGGCTGACAGTATGAAAGGAGAGCTAAAATTTTCCAATAAAAGAAATCGGAAATTCAATAAAAAGAGTGGGACTGACAAAACCTGGAACCAGTGCCAGGTGTCAGCAGGAAAGTGGAGGTGATGCTGGTTGAGAAGAGAAAGTTGCAAGTGCAGGAAACAGACTGAAGAGTAATTGTTTATCAGATCAAACTTCCTGTGACTGCAAACTCTTTCCAATATCCTGCATGCTGTCCTCTCTTGCATACGCACCTGCAGTTCTGCTCTTTCCCCTCAATTCTTTAAAAAAACCTGAAAACCCAAAAAATGACTAAGAAAGTGCCCTCCATGGTATGTTTGACTTCATAAGCTCTATTAGTGTTGGGTGGGGTTTGGTTTTATATTGTGTTAATATATGAGAATAATAAATGTGAAAATGCTGTCTAGATACACTATAGAATCACTTGCAAATACTCTTGACAAATTGATCTAGACTTCAATATTCCTAAAACCAACATCTACCTTGGAAGTTCCAACAAAATACATTCACAACCTCCAGCATTTTCTCATACAAAAAAACCCTAATCAAACCCACACAACGGAGGCAACAAATAGAAAAAAATCAGTCATGAATCAATATTGTTCTCTAAACAGAAATGCCATTTCTTCAAGTCCCACTAATCTGGATGACATACAGAATCAGAATCAAAGAACAGCACTGAGTTAGACCAAATCCTTCAACTGACTCTCTACTATCTTGTCTCCAAGGAAAGCCATAAGTAGATACACAAGATACCCTCCCTGCCTCCAGCTATTTCCAGTTCAGGAATTTCTGGAGTCAGATGTAGTTCCTGTACATTCAGTAATTCTCAATTAACATCTTTCTCACTTTGAATTGATGAAAATAAATAGTAGTTTTGTAGAAGAAACTTTTTCTGATCTAGTCTCAACAACTCACAGAAAAAAATTACAGCATTCATGCATATATGGAAGAATTTAATTTTTGGAGGGTTTTAGTACTTCCTTCAGACTGCAAAGGTGATTCAATAAGTCTGCCCTATTAGAGAAGTCAGATGAAAAAGTTTTGAAAGGTTGTAAAACTTCAGAAACATTCCTCCTCAACTGTATGCAGCAAACACAGAATTCTTGACAGCGCTGTGGTTTCAGATGACCCATATAACTTATTTGTGACATTGTTACTGCAGAGTAATGGAGATTCATAAACCTGGTCTAATAAAAGTTTTATGGTGCAGCATACCAGCATGTAATATTTCTCAGCATAATGAAAGAGAAATACATCTAGTTTAACACCATGCACTCAAGCCCAGAGTTGACCTAGAATTGGGAATGCCTTGCCAATAGCTCCCTTCTTTCTAGGACAGATAGTTTCCAGATCAAACTGAATCTGCCACTTCATCAGCTATGAGAGAGATTAATTGTTCCTGGTATTCACTTACAAGTAACGCATCATTATTTAAAAGAATGCAATGACGTAATTCCATGCCAACAGAAGTCACTGACAGTCTTGAAAATCATCAAACAGTAAAGATGCAGGAGATGGAGATTTCAGCACTGCTTCAGAAAGCATAATTGACACACATTTCTTCAAATTTCTCAGTAAAATGATAATGTCAAATATATATAAAACACTAAAATATTGAGTTTAAATCAATATCTGCACATGCATATAGCATATGAAGAGATATTTATGATCACACATGAATCAGTGTGATATCTTCAGGGCCAGACATAGCATTGGCAAGAACCATCTCTTACAGATATTGTAATTCTTACCTGCATTTAAGGAAGGCAGGTTGTCTTTCCCACTTATGCCTTCAGTGGCTGTACACTCACGAACCAATGCAGACTGCAAAAGAAAGACAGCTGCAAATGTGATGCATTCAGGGGTCTGAAATAAATCCATGGCAGTTTATAAAAGGTAGGCTGAAAACCATCACTGATAATAATACAAACTTCTCAAGTTTTAATTTCAATTTACATTTTTATCTTTATATTTCTGTTCCAAGATACTGTAACACAATCAGAATTATAGTCAAGAAAATGACAAAATGTGATCAGCCATTCCATAATAAAACACAAATGTTTTCTACCAGTATAATGCTAGAAATGTTGAGAGATATTAATAGTTTGGCTTAATAAGTAAGTTTTATTATAAGAATAAGTCACTTTAGTTTAAAACAATTTTTGGCAAGTTTTGTGCTTTCAAAGAGGTTTCTTTAGGCAAAGCAGTTTTCACATGCACAGTACAAGAAAACATTTCATTAATTTTCAAACAAGGGAAAAGTAGGAAGCTTTAAAATGTGTTCACATTTTGTGATTGAAAGAATTTTTTATATAAGTGAACCAGAATATTGTTTTGATAAGATTAGTGCATAAAAGTATAAAAAGTTTATGAAAAAAGCAATCAGTGTACACCTCTGTTAAATGTAGTATGACCTATATTTTTAATGCTCCTCCTACCCGCAGCCAGAAAACAAATGGGAGTTTCTAAAGGTGATACGGAGCTCTGTGCCAAGGGCTTCCCCAGTTCCTAGAAGCTCAGTGGAGAACTTAAGGTGGAGAGCAACACACGATGTACTCTCTACCAGGAGATATCAGAAAATGAATTTAACCATTGACTTCCTCTTCCATGAGAAATTCCTGCACATAGTTTATCTAAAAGTGAGCAAACCCAGTTCAAAACTGATTTATTTTATATTAATTCAATAACTCCACATTCTCACAATTGCATCCTCATTATCAACATATAAACCAAGACTGTGCTGCAACTGATCTGTACAAACCAAGGACTCCTTTTAAGATCACAGAGAATACACCTGTCATGAATCTGGTCTCTCTTTGCAAGTATTTAATAGCAATAAAATTGCTATTAAAGCCTTCTGTCTCCCCCAAGCAGGACACAGCTCATTAATTACATCTCAAATAATTGCAAGGAGTCTCAGTCTACATTTTGAAGTGGAAGAAAAGCAAAATAAAAGAGAGGGCTGAAAATACAGCTCATGTTGCCTATATTATGCAAGTTTTACAGTTCAAAATCAGAAAGATTTCACAGCATTTGTTGGCTTTTTGGAACTGGTTCCACTCAACAACTGTTTTAAAAAGGCACTGAAGTCCTTTGAGATATTTGGTCAAATAAAGTATAAAATCTACCCTCAGAATTTGACCCAAAAGCAGACTTGTTTGGCTAAGCAAAAAAGATATTAAAAATAATGTCCTTTTCTCAAAAAATAGTATTATATGTTACTTCCAAATAAAAAAATGCTGCATTCTCTGTAGCAGTTTTGTTTTTTTGTTTTTTTAATGAGAAACAGAATACACCATAGCATTAAGCAGTAAACCACCATATTAGGGCTGCAAAAATTGAGTGCACCCATGAAACACCATGAAACAGATGAACCTGCCCCTCTGCAAAGGAATTCATCTCTTCTTTGGTTTGCTTGTCATTCTTCCAAGCTTTTCGGTGTTGTGGGCACAGATTGCACATAAAAATCAACATGAACAGGACTTGAAGGGCAGAAAGCAGAGCAGCTATCCAAGGGAAAAAGAAGCTGTACTTATGGCATCTCTCTTGACAATTTTTTGATCAAAACTGATCAAATACATTCAGTTGATATAAAAATAAGCTATTTCTTTTTTAAGAAGGAAATGGGCTAGGAAACTCAGGTTAGAATATTACTCCATACATTTTCATGAGGGCTTTTTCTTTTTTCAGTTGAGGGAGATAAGTGTCCAGAAATTTGAAGTCCTTGACCCAATTTGGTAATTAGTATTTTAGACATCTGTTAAAACTGATCATTCTAATTAACTTAATGCAATAAACTGAGTTTCCACCTTTTGATCCTGGGTATCTGCTGTGATGTGGTCTGTTTCCCCCTCCTCTAGCTCTCCCATCTTCAGAAGATTGACTTCAATGGTACCAACTGTCCTTCCAGCATCAGATGTTCTGGAAAAAAAAACAACCCCTGACACTGGATCACTTACAGCATTAAATTTTTTCAATTAAAATATTGTCAATAAATATTTAGTCCCCTCTCCATTCTGTAAAGCTGCAGTCAGCTGTATTGAATTGGTTATTTACCATCACAAAACAGATGTTAGCAATGAGGCAACTTCTTCAGGACAATGAAAGTTTTCATCACAAAAATGAGGACAGGTAAGTGCTATAAATGATGCATGAATTCATGAACACCACCAGATTTTCATTCTAGACCTTATCCTGTCTGTGGACTCTTGGATAAAGTGCTGTAATACTGCACCAATATTCCACTGAGGATCTGCAATCCCACTGCAGAGTACATGGCTTTGTTTCCTAATATTCAAAGAAAGGACATACTTTCTTTGTGTATTAATATAACCAACCCCTGCAAAACCAAAACAATGGAACTAATATGAATATCACTTTTCCCTTTGTAATCCCTCCACAGAGTAATTATTGAGAATCCATCCTATTTCTTGAACAATATGGGAATGACAGTACTGTTCCAGGTAAATTCCTTTATTAATCAGCTCCACAAATAGTTTACTTCCAATTAATCAAAAACAAATAACAATTCAGATGTATATCCCCAAGAAAAGAGTATCACTGACTACTTTTTGGAAGAGACAAGAGTTTAAACTCCAGAAAGATACCAAATGCTTTTTCAGCTTTCACTGGCAGCACAGCACCAAGGTTAATGGCATAGTCTATCTCCCCTGGCTTATTCTGAACAGCTGGATTTTTTGAAAGGAAGGAAAGAAGACTAACAGACCATTTCATAATAATGAAAAGGCACCAAGCAAAAATAGACAAAAGAAAATGATGAGAATAAATTCAGCAGAATTACAAAAACACAGCAAGGAAGGAAAATCAAAACAAATGTGTTTGGAGCAATACTGTGCATTATCTGAGCAGTGAAAATGAAGAGTCATGAATCAGGAAAAAAGAATACCTAGAAAAGTTCAATGTCATAAAATCATAAAATCACAGAATTATTGAATGTGCTGAATTGGAAGGTACCCATTAGAACCACCAAGTCCAACTCCTACAGTAAAATCTAAAAAAATAGTTACCCCCAAAGCTTCCAAATTAAATAATTATTTTGGTTACAAACCATCAGGGTTTAATATGCACTCAAACGCATACACTCATCTTGCAACTATACAAATCTGGTCTTCTATAAAACCTTGCAAAATAAACATAATTCTTCATAATTTACATGTGTAAAACTTCATTTTGTCTAAGCCAAATTAATTACTGACTATAAACAATTAAAAACTAACCAGTTCCAGAGAGTTTTGCAATTGAAGAAGCATATATTAATTTACAAAGTATCCAGAAGAAAAGTAATAAGTGTTCAGTGTCTAGATGGTGCTTATGAGCACAAATACATAATAATTTTGAAATGCATGAGAACAGCTTAAGGGCCTTCTGAATGAAGAACCTTCCCCTGAGTTGCTACAGCCTCATGGTTTGACTTCACTTCTTTTCTCCTTCTAGTGTCAAACTGGCATCCAAACTAGGCTATGTCAACAAATGGACTACAGCATACACAAGCAGAAAGGAAATACATTAGATGTCAGCAAATCACAGTTATATTTAAAAACCAAAGTTTGTGGTTATAAGCCTGAAAATTTTTCAACAGCTTAAGCTCTTCTGATCAAAGTGTCAAGTGAATTAACTGACGAAAGCCAACAAGGCCTGTTGCTCCAGTAAAATAAAATGGACAGGCTAGTTACACTTTCCCAGTCTTCATCTCTTGGTCTTTAGAACACTAAATATTCCCCTTGCTGCTGTTATTAAAAGCTTGGCCTCAGTATAACAGTAAACACTGCATTGCTTGCCTGCATGAGGAGCAATATGTATTTTGCATGGGTTTAAAAACAGTGATTGATCTAATTTCACTTTTGCATCTTTTTTTTTTTTAAATAGTTTTATTATTTTATTCTCAAATTCACTCCTGTACTGGTGTTATACATATGAATGTTACAATCTGGAACATGCATTACTTGCAGGAGAAGGTAATGCAACACAATTAAGCTAAACAGTGGGACTTATTGCATTGTAGTTGCACTTCTTTCTCCAGTTCTTCCCACACAGAAATCTGAGGACGCAATTTAATCAAAAAAGCCAACAACAACAAAATCAACAAATCATCAAACTAAAGTTTCTTTTGAATGCTACAGGCATACAAATCAACAAAGAGCTCTATAAATGTCCAGGGCAAAACTGCTGTGAGCAGTGTCAGATTCTGTGATTTTAAAATACCAGCAGTGCATGACAGTCTTCAAGTAGACATGTCATGCATTTCAAACTTTCCAGCAATATCATGAGATTACAAACATTAAGAAAGAAAATGTAAAAAGAGAAATAGAAGTGATGCAATGGGGAAAAAAAAGAAAGAGCTTACAGATCCTACTTTAATATGATAAGAACATGTATAATTTTACTTTGCGCTAACAGCATTGAGCACACACACACATCTATGTACATGCATTGTGTTCTTTGCCTGCAGAGATGTGAAGAGGCTCTCACACATACATACTGTTCAACAGAGCATCAGAGAAATAATTAATTCATTTTAGGATACTTCATAACACATTAGGATGAAATCAGCTTATTTGCAGTAGTTTAATAAAGCTGAGAAGGACACTCTGCACCCACATGGTGCAGTGAAGGTGGTCCCTGCATCAAATTGCTCCCAGTCGTAAAAGAAGAGACCATATCCCCACAGAACCAAGGACTGCACTTTGACAACCTGTATAGGGCAAGGTGGGATGTGGGATACTGCAAAAAGAATAAAATCAGTGTCAACATAAGAAGTGCATACATGGCACAAAATCCAGCTGGCTTATGGAGCTGTTAAACTGATGATATTTTTCAGTACCCTGGGACAAGAAGCAGCAATTTTCTGATACCTTTGCGGAGCACCTGCATTTGAAATAGATTTGTCTACCATCCCAAGTCCCTAAGGATCACCAGGTCAGTACTAGTTTCCTCAAATGTGAGGGAAGGAGGTAGCCAGTAACACCATGAGCAGCAGGAATCTGTGCCCACTTTATTACTTCTGGCCGTAAAATATTGACCAAGGAATCCAGAGAGGAAGAAAGCAACAAGCTAGTGATGGAAAAGTAAGTGAGCTAGATGGACTGAAACAGCAGTCATTTGCCTCCAATGCTGATCTCAAGTCTCATTATTACACAAATTTAGGCCTGTTAATTGGTTCCCATGGTCATACACCTTTCTTCAAAAAAAAAAAAAGGAAAAAAAATTATTCAATAACACAAAATAAAAAAAGGAAACAAACTTCATGTTTGCATGGCTGTGTTAATTATAAAAGACAAAGTGACTGCCTGAAAAGCAAACTGCATGACAGAGTCTTGCAGGCAGCCCCTTCCTCCAGTGCATAATACACAATAAATGCAATTAGCACAGGCTGTCCTACAGATTGTCATAAAATTAATTTCTCCACTGCTAGAATATATTTTGATATATCCAAGCACAAAAGTATTGTACTTACACAAAAATGTTTATCTGTGAATTCACAGTGAAGCCTATTACAATAATCAATACTGGTTTTAAACAACTCCACTGTAAATAATATTCTGCTGCATTCTAAGGTAAATAAACAAAGTTTTGCAATGTTCAGTTCCTCCTGTTTTCATTATTTCAATGTACAGTTGATTAAGTTTCATGTCAGAACAAGATTCACCTCAATGGTATTGGAGATTTGCCTGATTTATAGTCAAGCTGTTGTAGAGAAGCTTCCTGAGGTGGATGACACAACATATAACAGCCAAGAAACAATTTCAGGAGGGAGACCAAGTACAACAACTTGTAGACAGATATCTCTTGAATTTTAATAGAGAAAAGCAGCTAAATATATAGTATTTTATAGTCATCATTTGCTAGGGAAGTTATGATAAGTACATAAATGACTGAAGAAATTCCTGTGCTGCTTTCCAATTCTCTCTAGTTAGTTAAACTTTGTGACTATTACTACTGCCAAAGTGAAGTTACATGTTTTGTGGCCCACAAGCTGTTAGGAGGGAGGGAAATTAGGAGCACTTTCTCTCCAAAAATAGTTAGGTTTATCTCCTTTCTTTAAAGAAAGTTCAGTCCTGTCTTAAGATTAATGGAAAGATTACAACTAAAATCAGACAGCTAGGCAAAAAGATAGTGTCCAAGAGTTTAAGCACTGACACAAGCTTAAAGAAGTCTGTATAGTAAATGATTGACAGACATGCAGAGGCACAACCTCCCAGATAATCTGTATAATTAATGCACTCCCTCCTAATTCCTGTTTGTGTAGCTCCACTGCCATACAGTTCCTGCTTACAGAGGCCAAAGGATCTGAGTGGCATTGACACTACCCCAGTTTCACACTGAAGTACCCTACCTACACTTTTGTCAATGTCTTAAGAGAAACATGTCAAAGAGATACACTCATACCAAAATTTCCCGAGCTAAAGAGAATCTTCCTGGAAACAGGCAAACTACCACCACAGGGAAAGGGGCTAATGGAAGTACAGATTGCTATCTCCTTGCAAAAAAGCCATAGAGCTCAACCAAGAAAAAAACAACCAAAACCCCAAATCATGCTGTTCTTAATAGAAAGGCATGGTAAAAGATCCTCTAAATTGAACTTAAAAATTAGATCAACTGGAAAAAAAAAATCAGCTTTTATTACTTAATTAGCAGCCAGTACACCTAGCTCTCATTTAGAAAGAAAATAAATATACATGATTTTATTTTTTAAATTGGACACACTATATTATAGAGTCAATATTAAGAAACATTCTTCTACTGAAAAATACTTTTGTTTCATTCAACAGCCCATTTTATGCCACTCATCATCACAACTGTATGAGAAAGTGTCATGGAGTTACTTTACCTTTAAGAAAGTTTAAGTTGCTGGGAACTGCCTGGAGTCTTTTCTCCTGACCAATTATCAGTCATTGCTGAGA